GGCAGAACGGTGTGCCAGGCAGCCTGGCCTTCCAGCTGTCAGCAGCATCTGGCTCTCCGCAGGAGGGGAGCCAGAGGGGGTGGGTCAGAGTGCCCCCAGGTCCTGCTGATAGTTCGGCCAGGCCAGACGGAGGAGGGGCCCAGGGCCGCCACCCTCCTCCTCTTTTCCCAGTGCCCACAGGGCTTGGGTGGGGGTGGGGAGGGGGGCTCCTGGCTGATGTCCAGTGGGTGGGTGTCCACAGGTGGGACAAAAACCAGGTTCCAGTAACCCTAAGACTCCATGGCAGGCCCTGAGCCCCTGGGTCTCTTTCAAGTCCGCAGGGCAGGAAGAGAGAGCCGTGGAGGAGTGGAGGAATGTCTCAAGTCTGCTCAGGAGACATGGCCCCAGGCAGCATGGTGCAGGGGAAAGAAGTGGAAACAGAGTGTGAGCTTCTCAGTCACTTCATAGAACAAGGTGGCTCCCGAGGCCCCGTCTAGCTCTGCTCTGCTCTGCCGTGTGAGGGGTCTAGTCCATGCTGAGTGCTGTTGGACGGGGGAGACAGGCTGGGGGTGGTGAGACTGTCTTCTCCTCATGCTAGGACTCTTCTCACTGTGGCTACACGGTCAAAAGGGACCCAGGGGACCGGAGTGCTGCCCTCCCAAGAGAGCAGACCTAAAATGACCTCCAGAGAGGGCACTGTGATCTTGGTAGTGGGGGCCCAGCCTTCCCCTCGCTGAGCCCCAAAGGACCCAGCCAACTCTCAGATGAGGTGCCACCGGCAGCCATCTGTTCTGAGGCCCTCCTGTCAGCTGAGGCAGGGGGATGGCTGCTTTCAAGCTTCCTTTTGTCTCCATTCCACCCTGTCCTGTTCTTTCCCCAGCAAGTCATCAGATTGAAAAACCAATACTCCTGATTCTCTGAAAGGACCTTCCCAGGACACTACTCCAGAGAAGCAGGTGAAGGAAAGTCACAGTTAGGAGATGGCATCACAGGTGTCTCCTCATCCTAGGGAGCTGGAGCCAGGAAAGAACTTAGAAGTCATCTGAGAGATCCTCAAAGTATAGCGAGCCAGGAACATCAGTGTCTACCTAGGCACTGGCTAGAAAGGCTAATTCTTCAGCCTCACCCAGACCTACTCTGGAATGCAACCCAGAAATTTGTTTTAACAAACCCTCTTGGTGGTTTGGAGACCCACTCACCTTTGAGTACCTCTGGGCTGGGCCAGCTCCTCATTTTATAGAGAAGGAATAGAAAGAGACCCGGAGATTGTGAACTTGCTCAAGGCCACAGAGCAAAATACTCACAGAGCTGGGACCCCCACTGGGCCCACCAGGATGGCAAACCAGGGAAGCAACAAGGAACAAACGCCCTTCTATGGCTTATCCCACATACCATCTCTCCCTCTCTGAGCTGCTTCTGCAGATGCCACCCCCACCTGTTACCAGTGCCAAGCACAGTGTTTGCCCAGCCTCCTCAGGGGCTGGGGAGGGAGCCCTGGTGCCCTCAGTGGGCATCGGCTCCCACGAATGTTGGAGCCCCTCAGCTCTAGACTCCAGGAAATGCCCTGCTGCCGTCAGAGAAATGCTGGCTGGACCACAGGGTGCCCCGGGCCCTTTCCCCCAACAACTCAGAATGCAATGCCCTGGGAAAGCTTTATTCCCTGCTCCACGAACAAGATTCTGCACACAGAAGTTGACGATCAGGTGATTTCACAAGGCCTCCCCGCCCCCCACCCCCAGACAGACACCACGGAACAGGTCCAGCACACCCTCTGCAGTCTGGCTTCCCCCAGCCCTACAGCCCAAGAGGGGAGGCACCCTCTCCACCCGAGGGAGCCCCAGTCTGACAGGCAAGACTGACGGTTGAAGGATGGCTCACTGGACAAGGATGCTCCCAGAGGAGCCAGCAGAGGTGGGGTGCAGGAGGGACACACAGCGCACAAGCAGACTGTCTCAGCTTAAGGAATTGTGTCCTATGAGCACGGGGAAGGGCGGGGAGCCATGGCAGGAGAGGGAATATTGGAAAGGGGCGGCCTGGCTCAGGCAGATGGTCTATTTGTCAAGACATCGAAGACTCCGGGAATACCACTTCAGCTTCAAGCCGAGCTCAGTCCACAGTCCAGAACAAGGGGCTCAGGGCTGCCCACTGAGTGAGGCTGGAGAGTTCCTTCTGCCTCCACCCTGGAGTGCTGGCTCCCAGGAGGCCCTGCCTCAGTCATTCTTTGCTGCCTACTTGGCATCCACGCTGATGAAATCCCCCTCTCTTTGTTGCTGTCCTGTCTCAGGATGGCAGGGAGGGAGCCAAGGTTTTAGGCTCCTCTCCATGGCTTTATAGGGGCCACACTGGTCTGCCTGCCCCAGCGGCCTCCTGGACGCAGCATCTGCCTGTCGCTCAACGGGGACGCCCTGTGAGGCTGTGCAGAGAACCCACTCCTCCTCCAGTGTGTGCCTGTGTCCTAGTCACTCCACAAGCTCAGGTTGGGGCCAGCACATGGGACCCCCTTCCCTACCACTTGAGATTTGGCCCTGGCCCCACTTGGCATCTCCTTCTCCCTACCCTACTCCCTGCCTGAGGCCCCTCCCCTTCCCTGCTCAGTGTCCAGACAGATGGCCTCCTATGTGGGCAGGCCTGTCCTTCTAGCCCTGGCCTGGCCTCTGTGGCCTGCCCAGTGTCAGCCAGAGGGGTAATAGGGAGTATCGCTGTGGTAGTTGTAATCTGGGCACACCTTCTGGACCAGTCTATAGTCCGTGCTGTAGAAGGCGATGAAGACGCAGACGACTTTGAAGGGCTGGGAGCAGCTCCAGGTGGCTGAGCTCTGAGCGTGGTCTCGGGAGCAGGTCTTGGCTGGGTCGTGGGTGCAGAGCGAGGTCCGACGGCCCCGTTCCACCTTCTCCCACTCCATTCGGCAGTTGAAGATTTTGGAGGCCTTGGCTTCGATGAAGATCTGCTGCTCCTGGTGGAACTCTACGGCTTTACTGGGGGGCACGAGGCTGATGGAGATGTTGCCCTGGCCAGTGGCATTGTGTCGGAAGTGGACGCTGAAGGTCCCGTTGCCGTGGTCCACGATCTTCCCTGTGACGAGCAGGTTCAGGGCAACCGTCTTGATGTTGGAGTAGAAGTCACCCCAGCCGAAGATTTTCTTCACCTTGGCTGACGGTGGCGGGGTGTGGTTTGGGCGGCTGGGGGGCTGCCCAAGGACGCCCCATGCCTCTCCAGGTGGAGCCAGCAGCCCTAGGAGAGTAGAGTTGGCCATGGGACGGGACTTAGGTGAGATGTGGCCCCGCTTCCGAGGCATCCGGGGCCGGGGCTGGCTCTCGTGGTCATCGCGTTCAGGGTCCTCGGAGCCAGGGGGACCATCATCCTGGCCACAGGTGACCTGTGGAGGGAGTTGGGAGGAGAGTGAGAGCCCTGTCCCCAGAGAACCCAGGAGTTCCGGTCCATTGCTCCCCACTACCAGCATCATCTCTCCCTGTCTCTTCTGCTGATTCGGGGCTGAGAGGCCCCTACACACTGACCACTTATGCTAGAGGGGTTGGGCGTACACTGTATCTCCTGTCATGGTCCCATCTAGTGTTCTGACACTCAGGTTACCCCTACCACTTCTCTCCACTGTCTTGCCTCTGGCCACTATTCAAAGTCTAAAAGTATGGCTGAGAATTCTCTACGGTGGATCACTACCCCGAAGGAGTGCCCAGCTCCTGATTCTGGGCGATCCCCTGTCTGATGGCAGAAGCATACCCCTGTGCTGACAGAGCTCCCAGACATAAGGGAGGCAGGGTCCTCTGCCTCTATGAAATTCCAGTTTGGTAGGGGAGGCATAGCCTCTGCCTTCGAAGAGCCCCACGTCAAATAGGGGAGCTCCATCCTATGCTGGGAAAGTTTGGCGGAAGAGGTGCAGCTCCGCCTTTGGGACTTTCCAGTCTGCCAGATGAGACATCATCTTATTCTAAGGCAGTTTCTACCCTCAGAGGCAATGAGAATCAACAGACAACAGAATAAGAAAATGGAGCCCACTGACATTCTAAAGTACAAACGCAGTTTAGGTTTTTGCAGGAGGGCTAGGGGGAGACCTGGAGTGAATCCCACACCCAGGGTGGCCAAGCAACTGGAAAGCCAAACACTCCCCTGGGGACCTCTGATGATGACATGCCAGGACATTACTTGCATTATGAGGTAAGAGTTATTATTCCCATTTCACAGATGAGGACACCAGCACTCAAAAGTTACATCACTGCAAAGCTAAGTCACATAGGGTCAGCTCTCCCACTTCACTGCACACACCCAGCCTCACAGACAAGATGTGTCCTTTTATAGGAGTTTAATCCAAGCCCCATCCCTATCCCAAATCTCCTGTAAAACTGCCAAGGCTCTGCTGGATCAGCTTTGGCAAGAGGCTGCACCTGGGAAGACTTCCTGGAAGAGCTTGGGGGTGGGGGCGGGGAGGCAGAAGGACAGCCTGACCCAACCCAAAGGCGGGACAGCTCTGGAGGGCGTCAGGGAGTAGACGGGGTTTCCTGAGGGCAGCAGCCTGGTGTTTGTCCGCTCAGCTTTTGAAGAGAGCACTAGCCCTATGTGTTTGTTACCAGCATCCAGGGCACCAGCTCACAGCTGGGTGCTATCTGGATTTGCTGGCATCCCTGGGGTGAGGATGGGGGATGCCTGAGGGCTGGGGTCTGGAGGGCTCCTAAGGAGTTTGGGGTCTTCATGCACTCTGTTTTGGCCTTGGCCATGGGTTGTGTGCAGTGTCCCCGCCTGCCAGGCCCCAGGGGTGGAATGGAAGGACAGCAGGAGAGGCTCCTGGGGGCTGCGGACCCGTGTGTGCTTGGCCCTGGGGGTTACAGCTGAATGGCTAGAGGGTGGGGAGAAGGGCAGCAGGTGGGATGTGGGAAGGGAAGCGTTCTTCCACACAGTGAGTGGCAAAGGGGAGGTGGCAAAGGGGATTATTGTTTTGGGGAAAGGGGCAGATCCAGATGTGAGGCTGAGGCTTTTTCACGACAGGATGCAGATGCAAGGGACGGGGCGCCGAGGGCGGGCGCTGGGTCCGAGGGGAGTTAAGCCCTGGCCTGGAACCTAGATGGGGCTCCCCAGCGTTCTGGGCCGCCCGGCAGCCGCGAGCGGGAGCACGGGGAGCTGTCTTTGGGCGGCCGGCTCAGCTGCCGCGAGCGCCCTGGGCGGGAGCCGCCTGCCCAGGTCCTGTGGGGCTCGGGCTGCGCGCGGCCGGGAGAGGAGAGGAAAACAACAGGCGGGGAGGGCGGGAGCGGGAGGGAGCGGGAGCGAGGGACGCGGGTCTGCAGCCTGGGGGACCCGCAGCCCTCTGGGTCCTTGAGGTCAGGGAAAACGTCTTTCTTATTGCAGTCCCACGCCCCCCGACCTGGCCGGTCACCAGCTTCACAGCCTTACTCCCTATGCCCCCTCCGCGCAGTCCCGGCTCCAGGAAAGGGTCGGGTAACCCTTGGCGACCTGGCCCCCGGCCTTTTCCCTCGTGCTGGTCACACCTCCCGCCACCAGCGGCCGAGTGGGTGGGCCAGCCAAGCACTGGCTCTCCGCCCCTATTAACCCTTTCTATACTGTCTCTGGCCTCGGACCCGCCCTCTCCCCCAGGCTCCAGGCGTCCCCTCCATCCCGGGGATGCTGGGGGGAAGGGAGAAAGTTTTCGGGCTTGGAAGCTTCCCGCGCTCTCCCCCAGTCCTCCGAGCCCCCGCCCTCCCCGCAGCTCCCCGCCGACCGCTCACCAGATAGAGGCTGCCCTGCACTAGGAACACGAAGCAGCAGCGAGTCAGTTGCATCCTCCTCCTTTGCTCTCGTGCCGCTTTCTCTCCTCTTTTCCTCTCGCGTCCCAGGCCCCTGCCTCACCCCTGCTCTTTCAGGAGCGCCGTCCCATGCTCCAGTCGCCGGGGATTCGCGGCCCTGGCTTTTGCTAGCTACCCAGGACCGACCCCGCCCCCTTCGGTCCAGCTGTGCAGCCGCCGCCCCCTTCCCCTGGTCCAGCTGCGCGCGGCGCGGCCCCTTCTCGAGGTCCCAGATGCGCGTCCCGAGCGCCTCGA